TATTTTGTCTCAGCACTTCAAATGCAGTGTACATGACATCCGGTTCCCAGTTACCGACAGTCTTCAAATATTTAGAGACTGAGCGATCCTCTACGACTTTGTGGATGAAGATGGGCGTATTTCCAGCAGGTGTTTTGAGAGTAGCCTCATCAAACACCTCGTCTTCTGTACACATACTGTCGTCTGCTACCCAGTTTCCATTCGTTCTTTTGTACGCAATTCCCTGATAGTGGATGTTTTTCTTAAAGGGCTTAGCTTGAACTCTTGGTGTTGGTATAGGTTTCGCTGGAGTTGGTTGTGGAACTGGAGTTTGATGTGGAACTCGATTTTGATGTCGCATCTTCTTCTGCTGTGATTTTATATCCTTAGACAACACACCAACTGAATTCTGAATGCTCTCCATTTTCGTATTCAGACTGGTAATACATGGTTCCTGTGGCGTCCAATATTTACTGTACGTTTTCGGTAGCTTCACATACAAAAGCATGATAACAGCGGTTGCTATTATTAATGCCAGTGCAGGTCTTGCATAGAACCGAAACTTCTCGTTTAACATCTTGAAGTCCATGTTTAGCAGCCAACAGCGATGAGGGCAGCCGGTCCCACCCAGTACAACCTATTTCAGTGCAGACCTGCTGACGCTGGCCATGGCTGAAGTGCATGCTTCTATATACCTGTAGATAAACATCTACTCTTTATCTTAATCCGGGTTACCGTTTGCTGTGCACTGAGCCCCCAGGCGATGTCTTACTGATAATGAGATAATTATCTCAAAACGAGATGCTGATTACGGCGCTTGCAGTGTTAAACTGTCTGTGCAGATAACCAGCTGAAACTGAATAGCCTTTGGATCATATGATGGAACATACATGATCACTTTCTTTTCCTTCTCCAGCGTCTGTCCTGCTCTTGTTTCAAAGATGGAGACATCATGTTCTTGCTTTTTTCTTTGATTTCCTTTGCGCACGTGTTTGATTTCGAAGCATGTTGGATTGCACGATCGTACACTTGTTACCATCGTTCACCGCCGTGTCGGCCTTGTCGTTGAGCTGTGTGACCTTTCTAGTCATGCATTCGTGTCATGCATGCTGCAGCTTGTTACTGTAGAACATCTTGTGAGTGCGTGAGTGAGTTTAATTTTACGCCGCTTTTAGTAATATTCCAGCAATATCACGGCGGGGGACATCAGAAATGGGCTTCACACATTGTACCCATATGCGAAATAGAACCCGGGTCTTCGGTTACCGAGTGAACGTTTCATCCACTAGGCTACCCCAACTGCCCCAGAACATGTTGTGAATAGTGTTACTGATAGCAACATTGCACGTCAAAGGGATTGCTAAAACTCCGCGTTGCCCAGACTGGAGTGTGCCTAATGAATGCGTCCATTCTAGATCCCATATGAAACCTTGTAGTGACTCGTGACCTAAACTGACATACAAAAGAAACTTTACACCTGTTATTTCGAAAATATTTTGAAAACCCATAAAGTGAACTTGAAATCTGTGGTCAGTATAATATACCAAACACACAACATGTGAATCAATAATTTTCCTTTTGCTTTTGATGGATGTTTTTCGAAATTCGGGTTTATTAGTGACTGCACGTGCAATTCATGCAGGCACTTCATAGGCCCTGATACCTGCAGCACGCAATCGTCTCATGACGGTGTTCCTGTGGATTTGGTGTCCGAACGCCGTTGCTGCCGTTGTCGCCATTGTCAGGAACCTGTTTCGGAGATGGAGTAACCGGATGTGGCGGTCTTCTTGGGGAATTGTGACCTTTGGTCTCCTACTCCTTGGATGGTCAGAGGTCTGACCAGTTTGCTGGAAACGGCTAAAATGGTTGACGATGGTTTCTCGGCTGACAACCAAGTATTCTGGCAATGTGGCTGTTGTTTGCTACCATGTGGGACATACCGACGGCTCTCTCTCGTTTTTCTGCTGTTAGCCTTGGCATTCATTTTGTGTACTTTTCGTTGCAATAATGTCAGTTCAACTCGCGGATCACCTTTTATACCGTTATTGCATGAATTGCACGTGCAGTCACCAATAAACATGAATTTCGAAAAACATCCATCAAAAGCAAATGAAACCACTGAAGTTGGTGTGTTTGGGCTAATGATTTACATGTTGTGTGTTTGGTATGTCATACTGACCACAGATTTCAAGTTTACTTTATGGGTTTTCAAAATATTTCGAAATTACGGGTGTAAAGTTTCTTTTGTACGTCAGTTTATAAGGACTAGGTGTTCAGTCTAGATACCGACGTTTACACATCTGTGATCTGTCTACACCCAGAAAGCCTTAAGTTCAGTGTAGATTTCTAATGTCTAACGTGTGTGTCTAGTCCAGATCCAGAATGTCTAATGCTAGTAGGTGTCTAGTCTGATGTATAGGTACACGACATCTATCCAGTTTCTTTACAGGTTGTGTGTTTATGCTGTCTGCCCTGTCCATGATCAATGTGGGTGGAACTACCTGGGATCCCCCTCCGTCTGTAAGGGACAACGTGGTGCTTTGATTCTCACTGCCTGGTTCCCGCATTGTGGAAACTTTAGAGTGCACACACGCGCGCGCTATCGCACGCGCACAGACACACCATACTTATTACACACTTGCTCGCCCGCAAACACACAAACACGCTAGCACGCATGCACGAACAAACGGGCATGTGTCTACTCCATTTTTGGTATTGTTTGGGATATTTTTTGAAGAGCAATGATGGAGAAATGTATATTCTCATATATTTGCGTATATGTTACCTGAAAATAACTATAATCAGTGGCACTCTAAACAAGTTTTATTTAAAACTGCAAATCTAATTGGAGTACCGTGCTTGGATATGTACAGTTTTTCATTGAAAACTAATGAAGAGTGATTTTTGATGATAGATAGAATCTCACCCTCGTGTCTTCTGATATCAAGTATCAACACGAGTTGGTAAATTTACAAATACCCGAGGCCTACCGAGGATATTTTTACTTTTATCAACGAGTGGTAACAAAGATGTCAACAAAGGTAACGTTCCGACCACACGTTTATACCAGTAAACAAACAGTATCTAAGCTAGAGAAAGCGTCCGTTTCTATGTTGAAATGTTTCCTTGGGGTCGGCTACCACGACGCCTGCCGGACCATGTACCTTCACAACGCCCCTAGGCTGGAATATACCCTTATGAGACTGCCCTTTGGCTACGCAGGTTTGGGATAGAGGACTGAACAGTGTTTTACGCAAAAAATACAATATAATTGTATTTTGTTCACAGATTCAACATTTAAAAAATACTAATTATGTAGTTTTCGACATTTACGCAGTAATTTAACTACAAATTGCACTCTCTTATGATCTAGGAATACGTTTTGTTTGTTTACGTCTGTGGTGGACATTCTACCTTTGTGGAGTGAATTCTAGTCTGTCTCTAAGTCCCTTAACCACATGTTTTTCTCTTTTCCCGATGCGGCAATGCTAAAGCACTAAATAAAGTCTAGATTTCTTCAGGTTCAGGGTTTGATCACCCATCTAACTGGAGCTTCTTTTGAATCTAAATGGAGTTATTTGTTTCTATCAAAATAATATACGTTCAGACACCTCATTCATGAAGGGATCAAATGGTGCGCTGATTCCCAAGCAAATACCGGGTAGTACCTGACGTGCTATTTTTCAGCAACTCATGTCGATGTGTCAGGAACAGTTAATGATTTACTCACCCACGGTGTTATGGGAACCGTACAGACGCCATTGAGTGACAGATGCCACGGGTCACAATCACATGCAGTCTCGTAGCCAGGTAGGTAACTTCAACCTTGGCCCAGCCTCACAAAGCGATGTTAACGCTAAGGCGATCAAAGCTCCCAACACCAACCTCAGACTTACGGATGAGTCATGGTGATACACACGGGCGATGGTAACAACTCAAAACGCAACTGGTAGTGGCAGCTGCACACATGTACATATAGCTGTACAAGATTCTTTATACAACAGATTGTCAGTAGACGTTACTTCACAGAAACTTACAAGGTCTCACACTGAATATTAAACACACAAAGTGTGCTCTAGTTCCTGTCAATTCAGATAACACACCTTAAAACAGCCGTCCAGTAAGGTAGCATTCCTTTCTGATATAGCCAGTGATACGTTAACTGTCACAGTGAGTGAGTTTAGTTTTACGCCGCAATCGGCAATATTCCAGCTATATGGCGTCGGTCAGTAAATAATCGAATATGTAGCAGACAATCCAGTGATCAACAGCATGAGCATCGATCTGCGCAATTGGGAACCGATGGTATGTGTCAACCAAGTCAGCGCGCCTGACCACCCGATCCCGTTAGTCGCCTCTTACGACAAGCATGGGTTACTGAAGATCAATTATAACCCGGACCTTCACGGGTATCTAGTAGGAAGAGAATGGTAGGATATGTTCGAGGGGTCGGATTTGGTCTGTATCATCTTTAGCACCCTCTTTCATTTTAAATACAAGTAACACGTTTTCATGACCCTTACTACATATTAAATGGAGAGTCCCGTTCTACGTTGAAATATATGTATTAAATATTATTTGACAACTAATTAAGTCTGTCTTTTCACGCACGCACGCACGCACGCACGCACGCCCGCACGCACGCGTGGCAAAATGGTGATTCATTTATAAGAGTAGCGTTTTTTAGAGCCAGGATCATGAGTTCGCATCCATTGATTTGCCAGTTCGGATGTGCAACTTAACATGAGAAATAAAATAGATTTCCAGTTCGGGGCTAACCTTGAGTTTAACCCGAAAGGCTGGGCCCTTTCCAATAAAACCATCATAACATCCATTCCTTAGCATAGACATACAACAGTCCTTGTGCTGTGATCGCTTCTGGGAACTGGACCCAAGTTCAATTCCCCACATGTGAATGTGAAGTCCATGTTTATATGCCTATTATTACTAACAAAAGCGTCGTAAAAGCATACTCGATCACTGGCGAGTATTCACGTCACAACAGAATTAACAAACACGTATAAGAACAAAAATATTTATTTACAATATACAATCTATTTACCATATGTATGTATAATATTTCACATATATATAAAATTGTCTATTAGTTGCCTTTTTATGATTTCTTTGAGTACGTCCGTATCATATCCTGTATCCATTTGTCATAGAACGAAACACGTGAAAACACACTGGGGGTAGCCTGATGTCTGACAGCCACTGACTCCCCATGATGTCACACCCACGAGGAAATAGTAACCGCCACGAGAACAAACGAGCGGGCCGCCGGAATCCCCCTGAAACAATGAAGTGAGACATGACGTAGGTTTACTTTTAGTGTGCTAGCCACGAGCACGGATGTGGTGCAGACAAACCTTGACCATCGAAAAATAGTCAGGGATACAAACTCACTATCTTTGTTTTCTGGCGCGTCGAAGGGAGGCAACTCTGCCCAGCAAATGTTGAGGACACCCGTGACGCAATCCCCCAGCCCAACTCTTTTGTATATTCAGTTTCGCTCATCAAATATTTTAACTAACGATCGTCTTCTATCGCTTCTTTACGATGGGAGTCGTGGATCGCTTGCACAAAGCGAATATAGAACCATCTCGACTACAGAATGTGTCTAAATTCTCTTTGTAAACACACACATTGCAAGAGTCTGTTCACTTATAGCGCTCTGAAGCTCGTAACTGCTTTAACCTAAACCAACAGTAGTCGTAACACTGCGATGGCTTGAGGGTATTGAAACAGTCGTACCGCTAAAATCACTCAATACACATCAGACCTTAGTAAAGCACTATGGGTAATTGTAAGATGGTGGCTGATGGGGAGCTGTGCTGGGGAGTGGGATAATGATTGTTCGGCTCGTCCTTTCATAGAAAGAATCTTTTCATGAAAATGACCCAGTATCAATTTGATAATCTATCATAAATCTCCTTTAATTCATGACCATTATCCATGGCTATTCATTTATTTATATACAGACAATGTAGGTCATGTATATGCAAGGGACATATAACACCCTGGACGACCGAAGATGGTAAAGTCGATATCAATAACTTACATTGCAGGCGCCGCCATCTCCATTGCCCACACACACGTGGGAGTTGAGGATGCGCTTCCAGCCCCACCTAGCGGCACACTCGTTGTTTGTCCTCACTGTCACCTTGAGCTCCTGCAGAAGACTCTGGTCCTCGAAGTCTGTAACACAGGAAAATGTACACCATATTAACACCGATTGTGCATATTACAGTTACAGTTTGACCTCACAGACAGCAATATTCAAGCTATCGAACGGCGGCCTGCAAATAATCGGTTGCAAACCAAAGGTTGACAGTATAAACAACAGCAGCATCTGTGTGACCGGGGCATGACGACACACAACTAGTCAGGCCACACACAACTAGTCAGGTCACACACAACTAGTCAGGTCACACACAACTAGTCAGGTCACACACAGCGAGTCAGGTCACACACAACTAGGCAGGCCACACACAACTAGTCAGGTCACACCCAACTAGTCAGGTCACACACGGCTAGTCAGGCCAGACACAACTAGTCAGGCCACACACTACTAGTCAGGTCGCACACAACTAGTCAGGCTACACACAACTAGTCAGGTCACACACAACTAGTCAGGTCACACAGCTAGTCAGGCCACACACTAGTCAGGCCACACACAACTAGTCAGGTCACACACAGCTAGTCAGGTCACACAAAACTAGTCAGGTCACACAACTAGTCAGGTCACACACAACTAGTCAGGTCACACGCAGCTAGTCAGGTCACACACAACTAGTCAGGTCACACGCAGCTAGTCAGGTCACACACAACTAGTCAGGTCACACACAACTAGTCAGGTCACACGCAACTAGTCAGGTCACACACAACTAGTCAGGTCACACACAACTAGTCAGGTCACACGCAGCTAGTCAGGTCACACACAACTAGTCAGGTCACACACAAGAGCCAGAAATGGGCTTCACACATTGTACCCATGTGGGGAATCGAACCTTGACCTTCGGCGTGACGAGCGAACGCTTTAACCACTAAGCCACCCCAGCTCCATTCTGCTCTGTAAATTACGATGCGGTGTAACCGAGTTCCTCTGCATCATCTGCATTTACACACATCTAACTTTTCCTTGTGTGTTAATGTTAATAATATGCGTGTGACTACATGAGTCGATATCATGGCCATCAAGAGCTCCATTTTCAGTGATATCCAGGAAAATAGCTTCTTATAACTTTCATCATAAAATGTCAAATCCAAATCATGTCGCCCTTTTATGACAGATAAATATTGTCTTAATATATCGTAAAGATAATATTTTGAATAATCTTAAATGACTGATCATCATCCAGTCTCACCTTTTGTTTCCCCCCATCCCATAATCCAACAGTCGTCCTCAGGCTCGAACTGCTCTTCCTTTGAGGGTAAACATGCATGTCTGATACTGAAGCCCGTGACGTCAACCGCCTCCTTCAGCCGCATCAACGCGATGTCGTTGGGGTAGTTGCCACCGTTCACGAACTCGGGATTCTGGAAAATGATAATAATAACTATGACGATGACGACTACAATTACAGTAACATTTATAATGTTCATGATGATGATGTCGAGGACAAGGACGATCATGATGGTGATGGATTTGGGTGTATTCATGTTTTCATTGTTCCGACATGAAGTCAATCGTACCCATATATTGAGTCACCAATTAAATATAAAATAAGAAAACAAAATGTAGGTAAAACCATCTAAAACGTTAGACAGAAAACGCCCAAATTTGGCAACGTATGTGAAACATTTGTTATTTCTTTATATGGTTTTGGCTTTACCTGGTTTGCAAAAGATGTATTTGATATCAATCTATTCGTTTATAAATATAGTTTAGATTGCAATATTTGTGAGTATAAATGACTGACAGGTTAACTAAATTTAGAAGCGGTCAGACTTGATGGTTGAGGTTTAGTAAGCTGGGGGTAATCAAACTGTTAGTCACCACTGTGTGCTCTACGATAGTCACAGGAAATATTCAATTCCCAAAACTGTAAATAATAATTATAATTCATCACAAATATTTTGTCAGTCAACAAATATTATGTCTACACAGTAACTGTGCCATGTTCCTGAGTTGTATCTACACAGTAACTGTGTCATGTTCCTGAGTTGTATCTACACAGTAACTGTGCCATGTTCCTGAGTTATATCTACACAGTAACTGTGCCATGTTCCTGAGTTGTATCTACACAGTAACTGTGCCATGTTCCTGAGTTGTATCTACACAGTAACTGTGCCATGTTCCTGAGTTGTATCTACAACAGTAACTGTGCCAGTTGTATCTACACAGTAACTGTGCCATGTTCCTGAGTTGTATCTACACAGTAACTGAGTTGTATCTACACAGTGTGCCATGTTCCTGAGTTGTATCTACACAGTAACTGTGCCATGTTCCTGAGTTGTATCTACACAGTACAGTAACTGTTCCTGAGTTGTATCACACAGTGTTCATGTTCCTGAGTTGTATCTACACAGTAACTGTGCCATGTTCAGTTGTAACTGTGTGCCATGTTCCTGAGTTGTATCTACACAGTAACTGTGCCATGTTCCTGAGTTGTATCTACACAGTAACTGTGCCATGTTCCTGAGTTGTATCTACACAGTAACTGTGCCATGTTCCTGAGTTGTATCTACACAGTAACTGTGCCATGTTCCTGAGTTGTATCTACACAGTAACTGTGCCATGTTCCTGAGTTGTATCTACACAGTAACTGTGCCATGTTCCTGAGTTGTATCTACACAGTAACTGTGCCATGTTCCTGAGTTGTATCTACACAGTAACTGTGCCATGTTCCTGAGTTGTATCCTGTAGTTGTATCTACACAGTAGTTCCTGAGTTGTATCTACACAGTAACTGTGCTATGTTCCTGAGTTGTATCTACACAGTAACTGTGCCATGTTCCTGAGTTGTATCTACACAGTAACTGTGCCATGTTCCTGAGTTGTATCTACACAGTAACTGTGCCATGTTCCTGAGTTGTATCTACACAGTAACTGTGCCATGTTCCTGAGTTGTATCTACACAGTAACATATAATTACTTGTTTGACTTCCCTTATGAAACAACCGACTGTAACATCTGTAAAACGGGTCTGATGTCCTTTATGCAAATCTGTCTGACAAAGAGTTTTTATGCTTTTCTACATTTGTTAATAACAAAAGTATTTGATTGAAACAGGTGTGGTTATTGTAAAAATATATATCTACATATGCTTAAATTTATGAATTTATGAAAGCAGACTTTGTATCAGATAAATAAGCCATTACACGATAAGCGGATAACTGGGCGATTAATGCAGAGGGCCGGGGGCGGGTAGTTACATAACACCCCATCATCACGACTATCAGTGCTCTCATCACAGTAACACCTTCAGTCAGGGTTGCAGGATACCAGCTTGTAACTGTTTCTCTTACAAAACAGCCCCTGGCGTGTTATAGATAATCGTGGAATAAAACCGTATCAACCACATATACAATCTTCATCGTGTAGTGTGGGGTGTTGGAGTAGCCGTGTGGTTCAAGCGTTCGGTCTAAGCCCCAGATCCGATTTCCCATGGAGGTACATTATATGAAGCCCATTTCTGGTGTCCCGACTGTGATATTGCTGGAATATTGCTAAAAGTGATTTAAAACCATAATCTGCAACATATTGGCCTATTATTGGCTAAAATAGTGAATGTGGCGACTCATTGTTACCACTCTTGCTCGAAACGTTAACCTACTTTGACAATGAGATCGATCTCCCGTCGGGTCTCCCTTCCTGAGTTGACGCCCTGCTGGTGCTCTCCGAACACGGCCCTCCAGTCGCCGGCTTTCTCAAACTGGTTCCTGTCAATAAGACGTCATAGTTGTTCAGTGGTTATTAACAAAACATGGGACACATATCGACAACATTTTAACGGGCACAATAACTGGATCACAAAAGAAAATATAGAAATTGAATATGACCATAAATATATGAGCAAAAGTCACCCCCTTTTCAATCAAATGTAAGTTTGTGGGCCACGCTTTATTTTGCAGGCAGTTTACCTTGAGTGTTGTACTAACCGCAAATCTGCCGTTTGTAACCTATTACTGTGTATATTAGGATTTCTAAATCCGTGAACGATTGACATTTTCTTTAAAGATGAGCTTCCGCTGTGAAGCGATCGTCAGACTGTTTCTGTCGGCTGAATGCCCAGTCAGCCCCCTTATTTAGTTTAGAAATAACTGAGGTTTACAATATTGAATATCTCCCCAAACAACTACACAGTCGTTTAGAAAGGGATCTCTGAAAACAAGCGCCAAGTATAATGTTCACGTGATAGACAGTGTGACATCTAAAAATATGTGAGTGTGTGAGTTTGTGAGTGAGTGAGTGAGAAATTGTGTAAGTGTGTGCTGTGAGTGAGTAGTGAGTATGTTTTAGGAGTATTGCGGTTCTATCACGTCAAGTCTTCTCAATCTGAGACGCACAAACGCCGTAGACGTTGAAAGTTTGAAAGGAAACATCGACACCGCAACGTGATTGAAATGATCACAATCCCGGTGAATCTGTGATTCGACTTCACAGTGAGCAGATCCTGGCATCAGTAAGGGACACAACACTGGAATGCGAACATCAGCAGCTTTGAACACTATGTATCCCTATGAACAGAGTTTACTGAGTACGTTTTTGCCATGAGACAGTACAGTGGTCATACAACTTATAATGACACAATTAACAGAGCGCTTAGTGGTTTACAGATTTTCTAAACTTAAACTTCCCTATGTACACATATGGACACTGTGAACACATATTTCAGTCAATGTTATCAAACGTTAAGGAAAACCCATCATTGGGGGGTTGGGTGTAAATTATGTATCAAGCAGCTGGATACTTAACATTAGTTTCAGTAAATTCTTTCTGTTCGGCTACATTATATTTCGTACATACACTTCTGCGTACTGACAAAATCACCCAGCTAGTAAGTATTGACAATTCTTGTCACTGACTGTGCCTTCAGATATACGATTTTTAAATTTCTATTGTTTACAAATATAGTGCTATCCGTATATGATTATGAAGATCCGGGCTAGAACTGGTCTCCGGCAACCCATACATGTCGTAAGATGCGACTAACGGGGACGGGTCGACAGACTGGCTGACTTGCTTGATGCATGTCATCATAGCCCAATTGGGTAGATCGATGTTCATGACGTCAATCACTGGATTGTTTGGTCCAGACTATGTTCAGACCGCCGTCATACAGCTGGAATATTGCTGGGTGCGGCGTTACACCATAAACAAACAAAACAAACTGTTTAATTGACACGCTTGTTCCATGCTCAAAACGAACATCTTTTCATTGTTTCTAGTTGTGATATATTACGAATGCTTCTTTGAATATGGTTATCCATAGGTGAGATGAGGTGAAGTGGGGTTGAGAATATTTCGCTCATATGACGACGTGCATGCGTGTGTATGTGTATGTGCGGCTGCTTGTACTAGCCCAGACTGAAGCTGGTTTTATAGTGCTAGCCCACTGAGATACCATGCCGCAGTTAAGCATGAATACCCCACTCAGACACATTATACTGACTCCGAGCCGACCAGTTCTTGTTACCCATTAATGCCGAGTGCCAGGCAGAGACCATATTTTTACGTCTTTTGGTATGACGCGGCGGTACGGCGGTGTTGGAATAAAAGCCTTTTGGGGGCGGTCGGCAATACAATTAGAAGGTCGGTCGGGAGATGAGCATCACAGAAAATACAAATGCTGCCCGAATGAATTCAATGAAACACTGTAATGTCAGGTGTATGTAAACCACGACTATGCGAGTAAGCGTGTTATAATGCCGTTTCTGTCAGTCCTCCATCAATATGAAATCTGGTCACCAAGAACAGACTTAACTGATTCTCTCGTGTGAGTAATAAGACTCTTAATAGTGACAAATCAGTGCTCCATATAAACGGAAGGCCACCCCAACTTTGGGCTTATTCTTGTACCGGAACGTTTGTACACCACGGCCTGAAACCTTAAGTCACGTAAAACATTGTTATCGGTTCTGGCAGATCCCAAATTTTCTATACACTACATATATCGACATACCGTTCATAGGCGGATCCAGATATTTTCAAAGAGGGGTAGGGTGGGGGTGGTTCTGGGGTTCAAACCCCTGAACCCCACCTTGGCTCTTCCATTGCAAAACATTATCTTCAATGTGGTCTTTAGGCATTTTCAAAAAAAAAAAGGGGGGGGGTCCGAACCCCCTGAAACCCCCCTCTGGATCCGCCACTGCCGTTAAGTCAATATATGTTCGATGAGACCTTCAATCTGATCCTTGGAAAGCGCATTAATGTCATAGTCTATCATGTTTTATCATATACGTAGATTATATACTTACATCTACGTAAATACTTTCATCTACGTAGAAGCTACTTTCATCTGTTTTACTGTACCATAGCAAGTCACAAATTCCGCTATAATACCTGGACGATGATATATAGAGGCAACTGTGGGTCACAACAGAATGTTTTTTAAAATTGGCACAAGATTTTGGGTATAAACCCAACGTGTATCATCTTCTTCATAATACAAATAACATGCGTTCAGGTACCTTTGCTATGCTAATAAGGGCGATACCTGGAAAGAAGGATTACGTCTCCGGTAGAAAAGGCCCCCAAAGAGTGTCCTCCCCTAAAGCATCAAGATCATGCCTTGCCCCCTGACGTATTTGGACGTCACGTACAAGCGTATAAAGTCAGTTCACCCTGAATAAATCTGCATGTCGAAGCGACCCAGCTGCTCGTGTTTGCAGTGTCATTATAACTGTGAACAGTTCCTTCCCCTCCCTGTCTGATGGCGCATTCCCTCGCCCCACACATCTGTTGTCTGACACACTCCATACAAGTCGACGTCGTGTTGTAACACTGCCGTGCATTGCCAAAAACGGGATTAGTCCGAGAACTGCCCTCCCTCCCTCAACATTTGACGGTCGTCACCGACATTGAAGCCAACACAATCAGATAGACGCCCATCCTCGCTTTCCAGTACATGCAGTTTGCATATTTTTGCATCACGCTAAGTAAATACTGCTGACTATTTAAAATCAACTTGTATGTTAATGTAATACATTTTCACCGGGGTAGAATTTGCTGACTAAACGTATTGATCACACTAGTCATTAAGGGAGGAATGTTATAAACGTCATCGCCAGAGATTAACCAGTCTCGGTTCCAGTCAGCATAAAAGGAGAATGTTGTAATTGGATTACTGAATGTGAGTGGTGACACTGGGCGTTCGCAAATGTAAGACAGTTTACCATTTCAAACAGGAAAAAGTGCTGATAACATGTATTGATCATGTGAGTACACAGGAGAGTACAGGAAAGTCACACACGGATGGAATTACTACAGATATCTGATTAGTAACTGTTAGCCCAGTTGGAGCCAACGTGGATATAATCAACCAGTTAACTAATCAAAGTATTATCGTTGCTAAAGATAACCATGAACGACTTAACGTAAAGGCAATACCTGGACCTGGCTCTCCATAGACCCTAAAGCCAGTGGAAGGAAAACAACTGAACTTCAACTCTAATCATTTGTATTCCAACAGGCTAGAGGATATTAACACCAGTTACGTTGATGCTTGTTGAATAAGAAATTGCTTTTCTATGTCCTATCAAATTTCAGTAACCTGAAACTATATCATGACTTGTACCTTACAGTAAGTTTTCATTTACACCTTCAAAAACTACTTTTCGTTCATAAAAATATGACATGAACCTTTAGGATTCAGTCTGAACACAAATGTGACCAAACGCCATGTCGGGCACATGGATATTCATGTCACGGATGGAACCCTTCGTACACAAACCAGATGAACAGGAAACTTGATTAATGACATGCACGTGCTGTGTAAATCCACGTGTAAACTGTGTTGTGTTTGTTAATCCTTCAGATGTGCATATCAGCGGATGTAGGACATGCATTTTGTATTATGTGTCTAAATTGGATAGTGGCTCAGACTGCTTAGCAGCTTTAGATTTTAAGTCGGGGTTTATTAGCGTCACTAGCGTTTCTTTTAGTGTCTTGTATATAGGTCCTGAACATTGCAGAAGAGTGCTTCGGGTTTTTCTTTTATACTCGCCCTCTTACTTCAGTACAGCAACTGACATAAGTCTTATTTTTTGTTTTCGTGGTTTTTTGTGCAAGTGAACACAGTACGACTCATTCGTACGCACGCACGCACACGCACACACACACACACACACACACACTGCCTAACAGAGCTGTGTTTTAGGTGTCAGAATTGAAACACGTCTAGCGAGATGTGTTTGGTATCGCTGGAAAGCTTGGAATCTCCAGCTTTCTAGTTATAACATGTTCAAGATCTAGAGATCATCTCCCAAGGTGTTTCTATGTAATCCGAAGAATACTATAACTTTGAAGAGACATATGGCAAAATTCCCTTCAGTTCACATTATTCCCCACAGATGATATCTAAACACATGGGAGAGGACGAATGGAGCAGTAGTGTGTCCTTGTGGGTGGGCCGCAATGGGCGTGTCGTGGAGGGTGTGGTGGCGGATGTTGCCCAGCGTCATCGCACCTCAACCTTCCTCATTCTGCGGGTTGACAAGATGTTTCTCATGTATTACCTGGCTGTTTGTGTGGTTACCGTGTAACACCTGCCAGACGTGTATAGGGACCCTCGGTGTTGGTTGATGCACCAGGTAGATACTGTCATGGGGTGGACAGGTGACAGTGTGTGCATTACCCCAGCCTTCTTCAAACGATTTGTAAGCAACGCGCCGATTGGACATAGAAACCACATGGCTCTTCCCATTCAAATGTCAGACACGTGTCAACCCAGATCAACTGCCATGCAAAGAAGTATGCAATGGCAATTGGATTTGACCAAAACATTACAAATGTTATCAAAACACTTACCGTACGAATGCTAATTAAGATGCCCTTAACAAACACATCACCATTGAATGCCATCTCTAGTTTGTTTCATTTGAAGCCAAGGCCTGCACAAAGGTGTACACTTTAGCGCGGCTGTTTACCTGCTCCGTTATTGGGACCGACTATATAGCTAGTTAAAACCTTTTTCAGAATATCAAGAAAACCCGATTTTGGGGCGCATTACCTCATGAAAAAAAATCAGTATTTTGTCTCTCTCTTTCACACACAAACTCATTCACTCACTCAGACTCGAACTTCCATGTTATTGAATGATAGGGCCGATGGAAGCAAATAACACCCCGCTGTAGCTTGAAGCACAATGTTTTATTTCGAGCATTGATTGCCAGGTGACTTTAATTTCATCTCATGGTATAGGAGGTCAAATGTGCCACAGTCCGTCCAGTACAGTTGCGTCCCTTGGGCGTTCTAGAAACGTGTGATTGCACGTTTGAACCCCAAATTGACCATTGACTATGTTTCAGCATGCATACCAGGGTTTCATCATGCTGTTTACGGCCTGAGACGCCGTGAACAAACTCAAATAATTCTAGTAAAAGCGCAAAACGTACTAACACACCTACTCATTGTTCTCGATGAAATTATGAAACAAGGATCCGTAGCCGTGAGTTAACGTCTTGGTGTGCTTGGTGAGTTAACGTCTTGGTGTGCTTGGTGAGTTAACGTCTTGGTGTGCTTGGTGAGTTAACACCTTGGTGTGCTTGGTGAGTTAACGTCTTGGTGTGCTCTCTCCTATCTCAACTCTGTGCTTGTTTGTGTGTTTGTTGTGAAACGCCGCTTTTAGGAGTGTTTCAGCTGTAGGAAGGCGGACTGTGAATAATCGAGATTGGACCAGAGCATCAGGTGATTGATGTTACGATCCACGCCCTCGGAATGTGATGACCAAGCCAGAGTTCCTGATCACCCGATCCCCTTACGACCATACTCACATGTTCTATTGCCTGACATGTTTAGTACAGCGGATGGTGTAAAAAAACCTCATACATACCCATGCACACAATGTGCCGCCGTCACTATCCATTGAGGGTGAACGAGGGTACCGCCACACACGTGACGTTTGGCCCACGTCAGTCGAAGAGAGACAACCCAAGGCCATCTTCCTTCTGAGGACGGGATACCACCCACAATCATGTTTGTAATTGCCACTCCACATTCTGAAATTGAACCCAAAACATATTTTTACACGAAAATAGACAATCTTAGTTTCAATAAACTTCTTTGGCGATGTTGCCCTAAAACCAAATTTAATTCGCAACCTTGATCTCAGTACTATGTTCCTTGATCTCAGTACTATGTTCCTTGATCTCAGTACTATGTTCCGATCAGCGAATGCTTGTCATCCTTGACACTGTAGTGAAACAATATAGTAATCAAAGCAGGCCATTCATATATGACTGTAAGATCTTTCTCATGTTCTTCTACAAAGTGTAAGTGTTAGAAGGTCTGTTTCCGGAACCACAATCGCCTCCGTGTTCCAAGGTTCGTTGGTTTATTGTCGCACTCAGCAATGTTTCAGCTATATGGCGGCGGCTTGTAAATAATCCAGTCTGGACCAATGATTAACAACGTGAGGATCGATCTACGCAACTGGGATACGATGACATGTGTCAACCACGTCAACCGGCCTGACCACCCGATCCCGTTAGTAGCCTCTTACGACAAGCATGGGTTACTGAAGACCAATTCTAACCAGGATCTCCATGGGTGGAGACAAGCATGGGTTACTGAAGACCGATTCTAACCCGGATCTTCACGGGTGGAGACAAGCATGGGTTACTGAAGACCAATTCTAACCCGGATCTTCCCGGGCGTGCTCTCAGGGACAAAGGCAAGGGGGACAGAGGGAGAAAAGCTCGTAGTACGTTTACTATGTCGATCTGTGTGAGCTATCTGTATTATATAAACTGCGGCATGGTAGCTCAGTGAGCTGGCTCTGTAAACCGTCATTTGTCCAAACTAGTACAAACAACCATATACATCAAAACAATAGAGAGAGAGAGAGAGAGAGAGAGAGAGAGAGAGAGAGAGAGAGAGAGAGAGACAGAGAAAGAGGGGGGGGGGGTTACAAGCTCTTCTCCATATAACTGCAGTAATCATGAACGCGACATTAAACCCCATTTCGCCTCACATCAGGTTTTTCAACTCGTACATGTGACTTAACCCTCACACCCAGACCCACCACGTGTCAACTGCACGTCTAATTACATGTGGTGTGTGAAGTCCTGACAACGAGACGTTATGCGGTCACCGAAAAAAATGCGGTTGCCCCAAATCTTCCTAATTTAATTGGAGCGTTGGCCTTCCACCCTCCATGTTGAGAATCTTACTAACCGCATGCCTTCAATTACAAACACACTCTAAACAGACGTAGTTAGGGTACAACATGTATTCTTCGGCCAAAGTATCGGAATTACATAATGTTTTATGTTATGCTTTTTTAAAATACACCCACATGATCAAATCCTTCCCTCTCATTTGGTTTAAAATATATCATACGCATTTTTTAAATTTAAAGCAGTCATAAAGTCCTAGTCGATTCAAATAAACGACACCGAAACACGTTTTGTTTGACATTGATTACACATCCCAATTATGTTCAAGTATATCCTAAGGAGGCGGGCTAGCCCAGTGGTTAGAGCGTTTGTTCGTCACACCGAAGGTCCGGGTTCGATTCCCCACATGGGTACAGTGCGTGAATCAATGCGTGGGTGTCACCCGCCGTGATATTGCTGGGATATTGCTAAAAGAGGCGCAAAACCAAACTCATTCACTCACTCACTCAAGTATATACGATTGTTGAACACTTTCGATGATGATTTAATGTGGTGTTCGTGTCACGTGCTTTATCGTTTTTTCAATCACTTCATCAATTATAACCAAGAGTTAAAATGCAGCACTGGTGAAACCCTTTTCTGACGTGGAAAAATCAAATATGCCCTATTTTTGTCATGTTGACTGAAGCAGAAGGAAGTGGGTCAAGCTATAACCCGACTGTTACCTATGGCTTGTTGTCAATCCTGTTTCAAGCTCTCTCTACAACCTAATGTTAGTAAAAAAACTTAACTGGGATTGTATTTAAGCCTTTTAAAGCTCTATGTAACTCGTCAAAATACAGTTCCTTATTAAATAATCATCTGAAATTTGCATACGGTTTTGTCGGACTTTCCCACTAATGTGTCAGCTGTTGGGAAGGGTATTCACCTCAGTATATCGTGTAACATAGTAAAGTGTGGCTTTTGAACTTCATTAGATTTTAATGTTGAATGTTACTATTAGTAATACCGTCAACGGTTCGTGGTTGTTTCAAAACACGTCTGACATGGCTGCATCGTACACGAACTAATTGGCATGTATGTACATGCGTCTCTGTTATTAGTTCATGAGTAGGTGCTGAAATTCCTCTGCGAGTTTAAGGAGCTTGAGACCGCAACCGCCAGTGCAGTTGGCCTGCAGAGCACCAGAGAATAAACTGACTCGATTATCTCCCCGAAACAGCTTCATTGGATTTCCAATCATATGAATGAATCACCAAAATCACTGATGACTGATGTTCACGAAAAGTTTGAGGAGGTGGGGTAGTCTAGTGGTTAAAGCGTTCGCTCGTCACGCCAAAGACCCGGGTTCTATCACAATGTGTGAAGCCCATTTCTGGTGTCCTCTGGCGTGATATAGCTGGAATATTGGTAAAAGATGCATAAAACCATATTCACTCACTCGCTGAAGTCCTACCCTTCTGATAGCACCTGCTACACGTAAAATGGAACACTCACATTTCTGTTTCAAAATCATCATTAAAGGTTACAATAGGGGATACCATGGCTTCATTTTAACAGGCGTTATATTATGTATTTAATGTACGCCAAACCACATTGTGTTTGGAGGTTGAATTTGGGTCGCGGAGTGAACATGTGCCGCAGGGGAATGTCAAACAAAAACATAAATTACATTATACGATGAATTGTCTTTGACATTGTTCTTCATAACAATATTTAACCTCAAAACAAGCACGTCAGTTTGATTAAACTAGCCAGCATGAGCGTTGTTCCAGCCAGTCAGCGATGAGCCTCCACAGTCACCGTTCAAACCCCAGTGACGTAAAGAAAAAACTTGTCTTTGTTTATCATTTTGTGGGGCAACACAACAAACAAACCCGGCTGTAACACTGGTGTTTGACTTAAAAACGACATAATCTTCAAACTAAATATTTTTTCATCGTATTGACAAGAACCAAATCGGTCCCACGTTGGCATCACGTGATCAAAATCTTTGACCATTGCTATGGAAATAATGGACGCGCCGTTGTTCAAATAAAGTGTCTTCGTTGTCCAGATTTAGAATGAAGTCTATCTGGAAATAGACTTCAGAGGTAATTAAGCTGCCTCGAAGATTCCAATTGGGTTTAGACCGTCAGTATTTGAACATGAAAGAGAGCGTCTTTTGTTGGTGACTTGAAGACATATTTGTGCTAGTTTGTAATCCTATCGCTAGGCAACACTTTAAACCCTTACTTTGTTCGTACATTCAAATTCCTTTCATTCTCTGGCAGCCTGACACAGTGTTTGCCTCGGTTTGGATTTCCTACTTCTGTATTTACAATTCCACAGTGGTTGACAGAACTTGACACATTCAAGGCTGCTCTAAGTATCCTTGATGTAATCGAAAACTGTAAAAACTGTAAAGCAATTGGATGATTTCCCTCCGGGTAAAGACCTTACAATGTTATTGGCGTTACTGTATTTTTGCTGCAAGTTTCTAATTCTCAGGATGGAGAAGAAGACCTTGCCCTGCTAAGAAATGTGGGAATCTGCACCCTCTCACTGGTGACAAGGAAGTGTTCTCCATTTCTCCATTTAGCAAAATATGCCACAACACCAAGCTTCAAACTCGTTAAGTGTGCATGTCTCAGGGATTCTTCGAGATATAATAATAACATACCTCGGGATATAATAATAACATACCTGGGGATCTAATAATAACATACTAAAGTAAGGCACCTCCTTATCTATTTCGGCATGGTCGGAAATGATAAAAGTGTGTTCTTATGGTTCCAAATGTAGGTAAAGAGAAAACTGAAAACGTATCACTTTCCAAAATGTATCTTCCTGCATTATTCCAACAAGTCAGTTCAATAGTATTTTATGGTGACAGTGTCATAAAATGTACAGAACTCTTTTAAACTCACCAATATTGATAAAGTTCTGCTTTTAAAAGGGACATTTGAAAAGGAATACAATCATAATTTGCCACACTTCTGAAATATCAATGCATTCTCGAAATTGTTTTTGGCAAGCGTTGCTTCATAATATCGATGTCCTTTGACTAATCCCCATGTGACACATCTGACACTCTACAACCATATCAATAACACCAGTGAGTCAGTATAACATTGACATTTAAGAGCATGAATCAGGTATGCTGACGACAAACAATTTACTCATTCTCCCAGTTTGAAATATGATTAAGTAGCCCTGTAACCGTTAACACTCTGTCAATATCACACCATATCGTAGAGTTGAACTTGGGCTAGAAGTCCTAATTTTCTGGATAATAAACCAACACTTTTTGTGTTGAACGGCCGTGTACTGTCAACATTTGGTAGATTCGAACTGCTTATATAAACTCTTGTGGTACACATCGTCACGTTGTTATATTGAACCATCCACATTAAGCGAGAGTTTTAGATGAGACACACTACACAAAAACCTTCATAACAACCAAATCCACAGTATGTTCGTCCATCCATATATACATAAAACTATAATAACAATTAGTGTATGTTAGCGTTACGCAAAACCAGAAAACTTCCTAAATTTAACAAACACCAATAATGTTGAATATTTTCAGAAAAATATCACTATAGTAACATATTCTACACTATTTCAGATTTCAGGAACTTCCAAGAAACTAGGTTTCTTAAACGAATTCAGTATTCATCCGTTATAGGAACATGTTGGAGGACGTGTTAATTTGAAATTTACAAATGAGAACCAATGAGGAAATTGATGCTGAATATTTAACTAACATTTTCAGTAAAATATCACGATAGTAAAATATTCAATGATATTTCAGATTAAAATTTTCACGAACTGACAAGAAATTAAGTTTCCTAAACGAATTAGTTCAAAGCATGTTGGCCCATCATATGTTGGGGGGC